CCTGGCAGTGCTGCTCTGCTGGGACTCTTTTCTGGCCCAGCTCTGCACAGAGGCCCCGACCCTGCAGCTGCAGAGAAGCCAGAGAGGAAAGATGTCAGGCAAACAAGTCAAGTCAGAGTTCTTTATTTGGTTTAAGCACACAGTGAGTACAATTGCCAATTTGTACAGCCTCTGGGCCAGGCTAGAAAGGCAAACACTGAATTGCAAATATGGATATATAAAGATATATATATGGATATATAATTAAATATCTCTTTATATATATTTATATATATAAAGATTTTTTGGTGTGAACAAATTCTCACAAAAAAAACACCCCTACCAGGATCAAAAAATAGAAAACATATGGTCGGCCTTTAACAAAGTCCATGAAGGATTGGCCTTTAATGAGGTACATAACATGCAGAAAAAGGAGAGTTTATTGCTTCTGAAAAACACCCAGTTATGAGTTTCCTCAGGGCATCCTTGAGCTCCTGGTTCCTCAGGCTGTAGATGAGGGGGTTCAGTGCTGGAGGCACCACCGAGTACAGCACTGACACAATCAGGTCTAGAGATGGGGAGGAGATGGAGGGAGGCTTCAGGTGGGCAAATGTGCCAGTGCTGAGGAACAGGGAGACCACAGCCAGGTGAGGGAGGCACGTGGAAAAGGCTTTGTACCGGCCCTGCTCAGAGGGGATCCTCAGCACAGCCCTGAAGATCTGCACATAGGAGAAAACAATGAAAACAAACAACCGAGCACTAAACAGGCACTTAGCACAAGAAGGCCAATTTCCCTGCGGTAGCCTGAGTGTGAGCAGGAGATCTTGAGGATGTGTGGGATTTCACAGAAGAACTGGCCCAGGGCATTGCCCTGGCACAGGGGCAGGGAAAATGTATTGGCTGTGTGCAGCAGAGAATAGAAAAACCCAGTGGCCCAGGCAGCTGCTGCCATGTGGGCACAAGCTCTGCTGCCCAGGAGGGTCCCATAGTGCAGGGGTTTGCAGATGGCAACGTAGCGGTCGTAGCACATGATGGTGAGGAGGGAAAATTCTGCTACAAGAAAGAAGACAAGCAGAAAGAGCTGTGCAGCACATCCCTTGTAGGAGATGGTTGTGGTGTCCCAGAGGGAATTGTGCATGGCTTTGGGGACAGTGGTGCAGATGCAGCCCAGGTCTGTGAGGGAGAGGTTGAGCAGGAAGAAGCCCATGGGGGTGTGCAGGTGGTGGTCGCAGGCTACGGCGCTGAGGATGAGGCCGTTGGCCAGGAGGGCAGCCAGGCAGATGCCCAGGAAGAACCAGAAGTGCAGGAGCTGCAGCTCCCACCTGTCTGCAAATGCCAGGAGGAGGAACTGGGTGAAGGAGCTGCTGTTGGACATTTACTGTTCCTTAGCACAGGGTCTGTTCAGAAAAGGAAAAGACAGGGAACAATTAAGACAGTCCCCTCTCAGCAAAGCCAGGGCAGTTTTCAGGGAAATCCCCTCCAGGTCAAGGCATTTCTTTTCTCTGGTTTGTGCTCTGAGGGTGCTGTGAGGAGCAGGAGCTCTGCCCATGTGCTGCCAAGGACTCAGCTTTGCTCTGCTGCAGTGCAGACATGGAGCTGGTTTGGGACAGCTCTCATGATCACAGGGGATGTCACATGGAACCGAGCTCTGATGGAAAAGTTCAATTCCTGTACTGTTGTCTTGGAACAATTTGGGCTTCAGAAGGGAGGCACAGTGTATCCTTAAAATAATTTTGACTGGTTTTTTTGTTTACAATCATAACACCTGGGGGTGTTTTTTTAGGGGCAAATTTTTCTGATGACAAATCTGCAGAGTTTTGAGACAGGACAGGCAGAAGGGCTGAGCTCTCTGTTGCTTATTGCAGAGCCAGGAGAGCTGCAGTGCCTCTCAGTCTGTTTCCCATCTGCCCTGCACTTTCCCTTGGGCTGCCTTGAAGATGACTTCACACACAGATTCATCTTTAAAAACCCCACCAAGATCTGTGCTGAGAGCAGGGCAGCGCTGCTTGAAAGGGCAGCTCTGTGAAGTGTCCCCTGTGCCAGCCCAGAGGTGCAGCTGTGCTGGACAGAGCAGGACAGGAGCCCTCCCACAGAGAAGCCAAGGGCTGGGACAGGAGAGTGCCCACCCCCAAGGGAAGGCTCAGCACTGCCCAGGATCCTGTGCTCATCTCTGAGACTGCCTGAAATATTCATCTGTGAGAGTAAAAGAGTTTGAATTTCAGGGCAGGCTCCTGAACCAAGAGAACAATGTCTATGCTACAATGCCTAAGCAGGAAACACACCTCAGGACTAATTCCTTTCCTGTAGCCCCTGTCTTTTCTGAGCTTTGCAATAAATTCTGCATTAATTATCCTGTAGTGGTGTGGAGCTGTGAGCAGGTCTGACCCTGCAACACAGAGACATGGAAAAGTTTCTCCCTCAGCTGCCAGGTTTGCTCCTTGCCCACAGCCCTTGTGCCCCAGCCCTGGGAGCAGCTCCCCGGGCCGGCTGAGAGCTGCCCCTGGCAGGCAGCAGAGTCCCTGCCCAGCACAGTGCCCTGGACTGCAGGACCCTGCTCTGCCCCACAGCCCTGGGCACCCCTGGCTGCACCCCCGGCTTCACAGCTCTTCCAAAGTGCCCCAAAACAGCCCCTGCTCACCCATTCCATCAACTGGGGCTGGGCCAGCTTTAGGACATGCCTCCAGGAGCTGCCCCTGCACTGCCCTGCAACCACAGACTCACCGTGTGCAGCCCTGCCAAGATTCCTCCTGCAGGGAGCTCTCAGCCATCCTGCCAGTGCTGAGCCCCTGGAAGCTCTGTGTGTGCCCTGCTGGTGTCCCTGAGCTGGCCTGGCAGTGCCCTCAGCCCTGCTGGGCTGTGCAGAGGAGCTGCTCACCAGCAGAGCTGTCTCTTTGAAGCTCTTCTTGGTTGCCAGGAGCTCCCTGTGTGCCAGGAGCCCGGCCCAGCTCAGCAGCACAGCAACTGCCCCAGGCATTTCATGACCCTCGGGGGGGTTTGGTGTTGAGTCCCTGAACATCAGGCCTTGAGAGTTCTGATGCACTGACACAAGTTGCCATTATCAGTTGTCATGGCAATGATCACATGGGCCCATTTTAGGGTTTGTTGCCATGACAACCTGCACTGAGACTATTGTTATGGCAACCATTTTAGGCTCCTATTTCTCGGGTTTGTTACCATAGCAACAATGGTAAGGACCCCTTCCAAGTTTGGTGCCATGGCAAGCAACACCTGGACCAGCTGTGATGGTTAATTGCCATGGAAACCTGCACTAGGGACCCTTGCTAAGAGCGGGTGTCACTGCAAAGAGTCACAGGGGATCTGTTGCTATGGGATTGTGCCATGGCAACCTGCACTGGGATGCATTGGCTGGTCAGGTGCCGTGGGAACCATCAGCAACACCCTTTGCCAGGGTCAGGTGCCATGGCAGCCAGACAAAAAGATTCTTTGCTAGGGACTGTTTCCATGGCAACCACCACTGGGACAAGACACCTGGGTCTCCTGTCATGGCAATTACCATGAAACCCCATTGCTGGGCCCTGATGCCATGACCACTTGCACTGGGACACTGCTGGAGTTGGCTGCCATGGCAACCACCATGAGACTGCGTTGATAAGCAGGATGCCATGGCAATCATCATACAGATCTGCTGCTGCTGTTCCATGCCCAACAACCTGCATGAGACACTTTGCTCAGGTCGGGTTCATGGCAAACACCCTTTGACCTGCTGTGATGGTGGGTTGTCACGGCCACTGCACCAGGGCTGTTGCTGGGGAGTGTTGCCATGGACACGTGCAATGAGACCTGTCACCAGAGTTGGCTCCATGGCAACCATCACAGGGTCCTGTGGCTGGGGCTGGTGCATGGAAACGAACCCGGGGACCTGTGGGGAGGGTGGATGGACTTTGTGGGCTGCTTTGGGCTGGGGCAGAGGTAATTTCTTTCCCGGGGGCTTCTCTGGGGCTCTGCTTTGGATTTGTGGATAATTCAGGGATGGTTTTGTTATTGCTGGGCAGCACTTGCACAGCTCCAAGGCCTTTCCTGCCCCTGGTACAGCCACGCTGGGGAGGGAGCTGGGGGTGCGTGGGAGGGTGGGAGGAGACACACCTGGGGCAGGTGACCCCCCTGACCCAAGGGCTGCTCCAGACCATGTGACATCACACTCAGTGTGTGTAGGGGGAACTTTGGAGTGATGGTGTTTGTCTGCCCAAGTCGCTGTTACTTGGGATGGGGCCCCGCTCTCCTGGAGGTGCTGAACACCTGCCTGTCCATGGGAAGCTGGGAATGAATTCCTGGTTTGGCCTTGCACGTGTGCACGTCTTTGACTCGACCCAGGAGTTTGGTCACTTCTACCCTTCTGATTCTCTCCCCCATCCCACTGGTGGGGAGGGAGTGAGAGACTGTGCAGTGCTGAGTTTCTGGCTGACATTGCTAAACCTTGACAGATGGAAACTCCACAGGTCTCTGGGACCCTGTTCTGGTGCTGAACCGTCCCCTTGGTGGGTTTTTAATAATTATAAATTTTTTTATTCTGTATACCAAGTTACTCAAGCATTACAGAACTCAGTGCAAGATCTCATAGCAGGGCAAGGTGCCCTTCCTATCCTTTAGCTTTTTAAGCTGATTCCACGCAGGGACACTGTCCATAGGCCACGAGGCCTAGCAAGGGATTTCTCAAATCCAAGGGGAGTCACCTCTCATGGGTTGTGTCACCTCTGGGGCTCACTGATGACTGACCACGATTGCACTGTTTCCCCTTAACATTACATTGGTCAGACCCAGCTGGAAGGAGCTCTTGACACTGAACTCTTTTGGGGCACTGAAGGTGCTCTGGAGGACAAAGATGTCATGGCAGGGCAGGACATAACAGGAATGCCTCAGGACACCTTTCCCCTCCCGGAGGAGGAGGAAAGCCAGGCTGGATACATGTTTTTGTTGGAGTGAATATGGGATGCTTTGTTCAGGCAACCACATACCCCAGTGGGACTTGTAGCATTTGGGACCATTTTACACCCTCTGTAGGATCACTTTGTCCATAGGAGTCTCTTCAAGGCCATTCTCACTTCCTTATTCTTCAGGCTATAGATGAGAGGGTTAAACACGGGAGTCAAAACTGGGTAAAACAGGGCAGAGTATTTGTCAGGATCTCCAGAATCCCTCGAGTGTCCCTTTAAGTAGATGACTGTGGCTGAGCCATAGAAGACTGTCAGCACCCCGAGGTGTGAGGAGCAGGCGGAAAAGGCTTTGTACCTGCCCAGAGCTGAGGGGATTTTCAGAATTGCCCTGATAATTTGAATGTAAGACAGAACTATTAAGCAGAAGAGAAGGATTACAAAAACCAGGGTGATGGTGTGCAGCCCCACTTGATTCCAGAACGTGTCTGCACAGGCCAGGTGCAGCAGCGGGGGGACGTCCCAGAAGAAGTGAGGAAGGTCACGGGATGCACAGAAGGGCAAAGTGAACAGCTGGTAGGTCTGTCCTACCTGCACTGGTGCCACAGCCCCCCAGGAGCCCAGCAGCAGCCTGGTGCAGAGCCCCCTGCTCATGGCCAGGGGATAGTGCAGGGGGTGGCACACGGCCAGGTAGCACTCGTAGGCCATGGCAGCCAGGAGAAGGCTTTGGGTGCTGCCCAGCAGAACCAGGAAATACAGCTGGGCAGCACAGCCAAGAAAGGGGATCCTGCCATCTGCCCTCAGGAGACACAGCAGCATTTTTGGCAGAGTGACGGAGGTGTAACAGACCTGCAGGAAGGACAAGTTCCTCGGGAAGAAGTCCATGGGGCTGTGCAGGCTGGAGTCCAGCACAGTGAGGAGGGCAACCAGGCTGTTCCCTGCCAGCACCACCAGGTAGATGAGCAGGAACACCGGGAAGCACAGGCAGTGTCTGCCCCTTGCAGAACAGTCTGGCTTACATTCCTTGTCCAGATCTTGAAGAGATGCATTTAATGTAAGAACATTGAGAAGAAAGAGGGTGAAAAAGGAGGAAAGTGATGAAAAAAGGGAAGTAAGGCAAGGCAAGGCAAAGGAAGGAGAGGCAATCCAAACAAAGCAAGGCGAGGCATAGCTCAGTTCTTAGACCTTGGTGAGAAAGATTAATCCCAGCTCTCTTCACATGTGGGAGCTCATCCCCTGGCGCTCTATCAGCACACAAAGATCTGGGAGACTGTCCAAGATCTGAATCATTCACCTTTACATGGTGAGGGGTGAATCCCACTGGAAGGAAACCAGGCTTCTCTCTTCCAGTGAATCCAGTGGCTCTGATGCATCCATGGGGCATTTTAGCAAGACAGGGAAGCAACGGTTTATGCAAAAATAACCAGGGTTCCTAACTGTACTAAAAGACAGGTTAATGCAAGCAGTGCCAGTGTGTCCTGCAGTTTTCAGCCATCCAGAGAAGAAAGTGGTTCAAAGAGGGTGATCTCCCCATGGTACCTGATTTGCCTGAACAGGTCAGGCTTTTATAACTTCTGAGAGAGTCACGGATCATTCAACATTTCCGACCTTGCTGCTCTGTCCCTTGGATTCCTGAGCCCTCACAAATCCAGCCCAGGGCCCGCTCGCTCCGATCCCAGCCCTGCAACACTCCCCAGTGCCCTGCAAGGCCTGGCAGAGGCACAGCAATGCTCCTGCTGCCCGGGGAGCTGAGCCCTCCCTGTGCATTCCCCACCCACCCAGAGCACAGAGACTCCCTGCAGGGCACACTGGCAGGGTGGGAGCTACAAGGCAGCAGCTCCTCCATCACAGGTGCCTTCTAATGAAGCCACAACTCAGATGAAAAGGGGTTTCAGAAACTCAGGTTGGCCTGGGGACTGAATATCCTCTCCCAGGCAAGGGCTGAGGATGCTGCTGTGGCTCTCAGCCAGCACTAACACCCATTGAGAAGTCTTCTTCAACTCGGAGGTGTTACTGATGAGAACAGCAGGTCAGAAAACATCAAGTATCCGATTAGCCAAGGGACAAGCACAGGGCATTTTTTTAAGAGGAAAATCTGAATTCACACTAACATGTCATCCTAATACTTTTCATGTTTTCCCACAGTATTTGTGCCATTTTCCTGTGAGTTTTATGTGTCTCATAGAGGTGTCATTCAAAATTTCCAAGATCCAATTAAAGTTTGCATGAGAGAAAGTCACCCTGATTGTTTTCTAATCTACCAACTTCATAGTATAAATATACAGAAAAATTAAATATTCCTATTTAAAACCCAAACAAATCATTGAGATACCCACATTTATTTTAATTCAATGCTTTAACTCAAAGCAACCATTCCCATGCAGATTCTCCACATACCAGCAATCCCTGCTTGTTGCCAAATGTTGTCAAAGATGCAACCTCCTCTTTTTAACTCTCAGGTGTGTCTCCGTGCTCCAAAGATCTCGAGTGGAGCCCAGAGCAGGCCAGCTTTGCTCCCAGGAACCTGCCAGAGCCCTTCTTAGGTGATGCCAATCTCACAGGCAGCGTTTCCCAAAGCTGGAGGAAGCCTGAAAAGGAAGGAAACATCCCCAAAGCGAGCCAGGCTTTTCTCAGCATCTGAGCTGCTGCACAGAGCCTTTGCTTCCCTGCAATCTGGACCTCCAATGATCTGCTGGAGAGTCCTTGGGAAGGCTTTGTCAGGAAGGGCCCTCGGGGGGCTCCTTAAGACTTCAAGGGACTGCAGGATTTTCAGAGCAATTTAGGTTTTTCTTTTGATTTTGCATTTCTGAGAGGTTTGTGCAACCATGGCCTGCAATTATCTGCTGTAACGAGTCCCTTGAGAGCCTCAGACAGTGACAACCCTCAGTGGGGCTCATTAATGCTTCAAGGCACTCAGGGTTTATTAAGACACTTCTTTTTGACACTAAGTCTCTGAGAGGTTTGTTTAGTCATGGCCTCCAATTATCTGCTTTAATTAGTCCCTGGAGAGACTTTGTCAGTAATGACACTCAGTGGGGCTCATTAATGCATCAAGGTACTCAAGGTTTTTTAAGGAACTTTGGTTTTTCCTTTTCCAACTGAGTCTGAGAGGTTTGTTCAGTCATGGCCTCCAGTTATCTCCTCCAACGAGTCCATGCGGAGGACTGTATTGGGAATGGCCCTCGGTGGGACCCATTAATGCTTTGAGATATTTTGGGTTCTCCTTCTGACTCTGACTAATGGAAAGGTTTGTGCAATCTCCCCTCAGTATCTGAGGTTCAAGGACTCAGCACCAAAAGCCCCACGGGGCTCATTCAGATAAAGCAAGTCCTAACAAACCACGGCTCTTCCTGTGATTCTCCTCTAGTCTAGACAGTGAATTAGGAATGTTGTCTCATGGAATCAGGGGACCATTGTGACACTGCAGGGCCCCGTGGAACTCTTTTGCCCGCGATGAGGGTCAGCACAAGAGGCACCAACACCAACTTTAGAGAACAAGTGTGTAATTTTACTCCAGTGCAAACCAGCAAAGAATGACAAAAGGATGAGCTCAGTAATGCACCTCATCGTTCCTACAAAGAGTGCCTGGAGTGAACACATACAAATACCATTCACTAATGAGCTGAGACTAACAGATCTCACTAATAAGCACACTTATTTTGTTCAGATACACGTGTGGTCTTTTCACACTACATCTTTTACCAACAAACATACACAGTTTTAGCTAAGGAGCAAATACATGGATAAACAGACTATTAGGTTGGAAGGTTCATCTAGAGGTCAACTTTGGCTCAGGGCCTGTTGTTCAGCCTCAGCACTTCAGTAACAGCCACACAGGGCTTTATATTACACACACACTTTCCATATTCATTAGTTATTCTTCCTTACTTAATACATAGACATTACTTTGTATTACACAGTCACACCTCCTATTGCAAGTCCTTAGTTGGTCCTTTGGGGTCTTCTTCAGGGCTCTCTGGTGGGTTCTTTTGGCATCTGGTGCCCTGTAGCGTGCACTTGCACGCTGCCTTTATATGATAAAGAAATACTGCACACTCTCCAGAGCTGGTGGAATCAGAAAGCCTTTATTTGAATCTCCCGCTCCCTTTTATATCCCAGAACCATGTGATCTCCTTATCCAATGGGGGCTGTAAACCTCGGCGCATGCTCTCTGGGCGTCTCTGCCCTGGTAGTTCCCCTCGTACCTCAGACATGCCCCTACATCATCCCCCTTTTTATTATCTAAGAGGATCACAAAACCAGTGCAAAAACAACAGTGCAAACAATCAGAACAGTACTTGTAAACTACCAAAGCTTGCAATGGCCCAGCACACTGCTTGCTTTGGCCTCTTATACTTATAATGTAAACCTTTAAAACTTTCTTGTATTCCTAAGGGGTAGTGCAACTTGGAGAAATAACTTTATTAACTTAAAGGCCTTGGCCTAACCGTGCAAACTTATAACCTTTATTAACTCGAGGGTTTTAAATAACTGGAGAGTTCAACTTTATTAGGAAACAGGCTAAGCTTAGCAAAACTAAATTCTCTTAAAGTGACCCTGTGGCAGAGGTAGCGTTATTTGTGAGGTGTTTTGTGTTTTAATATTTGTCCAGTCATACAACACATTTTCATTCACACTTCTTTCGCTCGATGACCGTCTTTCACACATCATACACACATTCATGTATTTTTTATTGACTGCTTTTTGCCACACTGGTCGTTCCTAAGTGTAAACCTGAAATGTAAACACAACTCTTTTATAACTTCTGCGTTACTCTGGTTCTTGCTGATGTGAATGTGTACCTAGGTAGGGCCTGACACACCTGGAAGGAATCCATTTTAACTCTTTTCCTGCACCCACACAGGCATAGCCTCTCCCCCACGTCACGAGATCTAGCGGTCCCGTCCACTGCCCAGAAATCAGATCCCTTACCATGACTGGTGGTTTGGGAGAGGCAGGCTCCTGAAGCCTGTGTTGCTTTTCATACTTACTCTTTTCGGTGCTGTCACAATTTAAAAAATTGACAACATACATTGCTTTCCACAGACGTTCTTGCGGGCTATCCAGGTTCCCCCCTTTTTTTTGTTTAGATAACATTTCTTTCAGTGTGCGGTGTGCCCTTTCGACAATTGCCTGACCGGTTGGTGAGTGTGGGATGCCTGTGACATGTGAGATTCCCCAGTCTGACAGGAAATCTCTTACCTTTTCTGAGATGTATGCTGGTCCGTTATCAGTCTTTATTTGTTTTGGGGTACCAAGGGTGGCAAAACAACTGAGCCAGTGCCTTATCACATCCTTGACCTTTTCCCCTGTGTGTGCTGTGGCTGTTAATATACTGCGAATGTGTATCTACTGTTACATGTACATATTTCAGTGTGCCAAATTCGGGGATGTGTGTGATGTCTGTTTGCCAGATCTCATTTGCTTTTAACCCTCTAGGGTTAACGCCTTCCTGAGATGGCATGGGTGTGATTTTTTGACAGTCTGGGCATGACAGGATGATGTCTCGAGCTTGGTTGATTGTTATTTGAAATTGCCTCTTTAGAGAGCGAGCATTCTGATGGAAAAATGAGTGAGACAATTTTGCTTGCCCTAAGATTCTGGGTATGGTGTTAAACATTGCTGCTCTGTCAGCTTCCCTGTTCCCATCAGCTACGGGTCCTGGCATGTCGGTGTGTGATCTTATGTGCATAATGTAGAAATCAAACCTTCTGTGATTGACAAGAAACCAAATAGAACGCATTTCAAACAACAAATGTGGATTAGAAACATCTCGAAGAAACGAACTTTCAAGGCGCGAGACTAAACCTGCAGCATAACAAGAATCAGTAACAATGTTAACAGGTTGCTCAGAAAATTTCTCCAGGGCAATACGGATGGCAGCCAGTTCCAGAACCTGTACAGAACCTTGGTTCCTGGTCTGCACCTCCTGTTCCCATTGTCCTGTATCAGGATTTACCCAAGTCACTGCAGCTTTTTGTGTCCTGCCAGATGCATCTGTGAAGACCGTAAGGCCTTCTACTGGTTCGTTTGCATCTGGTTGTGGCTTTTAAAGGTTAATTACCAATTTCTGCCCACAATCTGTGTTTAGGGAGATGAATGGAAATATCACCGTCAAAGCCTGATAAGGCAGCTTGGAATCCTGCGTCCTCAGCTAGCATCCAATCTAAATTGTCCCTCATAGCTGGAATATAGATGATGGCAGGGTCCCTTCCGTCCAATTCCTGCAGTCGTCCTCTGTCTTTAATGACAAGCTTTGCAAACATCTCATTAGCAGTCCACACAGTTTTAGGTGGTGTACAGGGCAGAAACAGCCACTCTAGAATTCGCAGTGGGTCTTTTTCCGTCTGATCCCACTGGAACAAAACTGCAAATGGCTGATACCTGCTGGGAACGAGGGCTAGGCAGATTTGCAGTTCAGGATTTCTCCTTCTACCTTGCCTGCTCTCTATTGCCCTGGCACAAATGTCTAACGCCTGTTTGGCCTCTGCAGTCAGAGATCTGTTAGACGTTAGATTGGAGTCCCCTTTTAGCAGCTCAAACAAAGGGTGTAGCTCCTCTGTGGTTAAGCCTAAAATAGGCCTTAACCAATTGATAGCCCCCAGGAGTTTTTGCAACTCGTGTAAAGTTAAAGTGTTTTTTACCTCGAACTGCGGTGGCTGTGGAGAAATTTCCTGCTGCATGATCCTCCATCCAAGGTATGTCCAGGGCTGCGATCGCTGGATCTTTTCTGGCGCGACCTGTAACCCTGCATCTTGGACAGCATCTTTTAGAGCAGTAACAACAGTTTCTAGTTCACTTTCTGTGGCTGTGGTAATTAAAATATCATCTATGTAGTGATAGATGATAGCAGAGGGAAAACGCCTTCTGATGGGATGAATAGCGTTTGCCACTACTGTCTGGCATATTGTAGGACTATTTCTCATCCCCTGAGGAAGAACAACCCAGTGATACCTTTGCATGGGCTGTGCATTGTTCAAGGCCGGGATGGAAAAGGCAAACCTTGGCGCATCCTCAGGGTGTAGAAAGATGGTAAAAAAGCAGTCCTTTAAATCAATTACCATTAGCGGTCAGTTTGCTGGGAGCATAGAGGGTGAAGGCAGTCCTGGCTGCAATGCTCCCATGGGCTCTATAACTGCATTTACTGCCCTTAAGTCCTGCAGCATTCTCCATTTCCCGCTTTTCTTGGGAATGCAAAACACAGGAGTGTTCCAGGGGCTAGTTGTGGGCACAATATGTCCTGCTTCTAGTTGCTCCTTTGCAAGCTCTGTTAATTGTTCAAGCCGTTCCTTTTTCATAGGCCATTGGTCCACCCAGACTGGCTACTCGCTTTTCCAGACCAGCTTAATGGGTGTTTGGGACGGCTGACCAATGGCCCCTATTGAAAAACCTGGCTGCTTGCAGGAGGAATTTGCATCACTGTGCCAAACTGCCCAAGAACATCCCTTCCCCACAGTGTGCAAGGAATGGGGGCAACAAAAGGAGCTACTTTGGCTAATTGTCCTTCAGGGTCCAGGACAGTGAGTACTTGGGCACTCTGTCTGGGCCTTTGTGTTCCTTCCACCCCCTGAATGGTTGCAGCTGGGCAAACAGTGGGCCAGTTAAGTGGTCATTCGGAGTCCTTTATGATGGAAACATCGGCTCCCGAATCCACAAGGCCTGTAAATCGGTGTCCATTCACCTGGCACGTCATGAGCGGCTGTGTGGCTGTTATGGCTGTTGCCCAGTAAACTTGTGGTGTTCCTGTGCTACCGAAAGCCCCTGAACCCCGCTCCCCCTCCCCCGCAGGCAACACGCTGTAGAAGGGTATTAGTTGGGCGATTTTCTGTCCCTTTGGAATGAAACAGGGGGGTGAAGGGGTCCAGGCCATGATCTGAATCTCGCTATGAGAGTCTGAGTCTATTACTCCCGGCAGCACAAATAAACCCATTCTTGTGGTGGAGGACCTTCCAATCAGTAGTGCATGCACCCCTGGGCAGAGGGGACCCCAAAACCCAGTTGGGATCAGCACTACCTCTGTGGATGTTATGAAGACAGAGTCCCGGTTGGATAGGTCCAGCCCAGCACTGGCTGCGGTGGAGGGGCACAAAGCGCTGGTTGGGGTGGGGGGGCACAAATTGCCAGCCTGTTCCCTTGTGTCGCATGTGTTTGCTGGACCGGGGCGTGCAACAACGCCCCTCGTCTCCCGTTTTTTGGCACCCTCCTTGCTTTTGGGTGCTTGCGGGGGGCTACTGCAAAGGGTCTCCTGGGACAATCTTTTTGGAAGTGGTCGGGTGCACCGCAAACGCAACAACCACTTCTGGGTCTGGCTCCCTCCTGTACTCTTAGCTGGGCACTGAGTGCTACTGCTAATGAGTCAGTTTGGTGTCCCACTGAGCCGACCTCTTGACAAGCACGAACCAGCTCTGCAATGCTGCAGCTCTCCCATTTAGGAAGAGCCTGCAATGCCCTCTTACAGTCTGGGTTCATGTTTTTGAAAGCCAGTTTTCTGCTAAGTATCTCTCTGGCTTCCTCATTTTCAATCTGCCTATCTAGGGCAGATTGCAGCCGGTCCAAGAATTGGGAGTACGGTTCTGTCGGGCCTTGCATTATTCTTGTAAATGACAAATTAGTGTCTCGGTCTGTTGTGGGTAACGTTCTCACAGCTCTCATGGCGTGTTTAGCTATTACCTCGTATATTTCCCTATTGTACCCAGATTGAGCATCTATTGACCGATAATTACCCTCCCCGGTTAGTTGGTGTGTTGTAACGCCTGCTTGTGGGTCACTGACGTACACAGAGCAATTCTCCCGAAAGTCGTTCAGCCACACGTTGTACTGTGTATTGGTAAGACTTATTTTTAAGATAGTCTTCCAATCGTGTGGCATGAAAATGTAAGTAGAGCTTAGTGTCTCTAAAAATGCCAGGGTGTTAGATGAAGACGCCAGTTTCCCTTATTATTTGCCTCAGTTCCTTTGTTAGTTCATGCGGTAAAGGTTGGAACTGGCGGGTCTGGCGTGGGCCAATAACGACTGGGGATGCATTAATCACTTGCAAATCTCCCACCCGTATTGCCTCCTCTCGACACAAACTCCACCTATCAACCAACCCTCCCCCGTTTGCTACCTCACTCCTTCCCGACGGAACCATCCCTAGTTCCTCCCCCTCCTCCCCCCACTCCCCTCCCCCCGCGGCTCTGGCAATCTCGGTTCCCAGTGGGGGGGTGTGGGCAGGTGTCGGAGGCGGTGAGGGGGCGGAGCTATCTCCCCCCTCGCGCCTATGGGTGGGGCGGGGCGGCACAGGGGCCGGAAGAGACTGGTCAGTTCCCGGGCCATGTGATGGGCAAGATGGTGGCGCCCATGCGGGACCACGTGGCCAGCAGTCATCCACGGCACGGGGAGGCAAATCTGCTGGGCTACCCCCCCGATCACTGTAACGGAGCCCTCTGCGATGATCCCATGAGTGGGGGTCTCACATCGGAGGCTCTGTCCCCTCCCAACGGCCCGTGTCCCTTTGGCTCTCGACTTCTGACTCAGTGCTTAAGTTACGAACATTTCCCATTCCCCCCCCCGCCAGACTTTGGGCGTTTGTGTTCCTTCGCCTAAAAGTTGGGCGGCTGCTGCTAGCAGTATTATTGAGGGGGTGCGTGTCGGTGTTATACGCTTGTGTTGTCCATTCGTGGGCTCTGTGTAGTGCAGACATTATTATTTGCCATGCTGGGAAAGCGTTGATAGCCTGGGGGTCTTGCCCCTGAGCTTTTAGCTTTATGAGATGCCCTAATTTTTCCCATATCTGTATGTTAAGGGCTTCTACCAGTAGCAGTTCGGGGACATTTGTCTTAATAAAGCGTACAAGCTCAGTAAGTTCGGCCCGTGAGGCTTGTACATGATATGGTTTCAGAAGGATAGCCAGTGGATCTGTGTCTTGTGAAATTGTGGTGGAGAAAAAATTCCCCATTTTACCTTTTCTCGGCGCTTTGGACGCACGTGGGCAGAAGCTCTTTGTGTGGTTGCTGGCTACTCCTGGTTCTGGTCTGCTGGTTTCCCCGGTTCAGCAGCGGAGGCAGGGCTCGGCGGCGGCGCGGGCTGGCGGCGCGGGCTGGCAGCGCGGGCTGGCGGTTTCTCCTCGGCGTGGGCGGCGGCGGCGAACGGTGGTGGACTCGGTCTTGGCAAAGGCGGGGACTCAGTCTCGACGTGGGCGTACGGCGGGGATCGCTAGGCGAGGTGGGGTCCGGGGGCTGCTGGACGCGGTTGCGCAGGGCTCGGCAGGAGCGGCGGCGAACGCGTGCAGCAGCGGCGGGCGGCGCGGAGCTGCAAGGTTTTCTGCTAAGCAGACAGCCAATGCGGGGGTCTGGTGGTGTGGTTTGGGTGGTGCGGGCAGCAGCGGCGCCGATCCGGCGTGGCTGGGTAAGCCGCGGCGAGGGTGATGGGGCGGCAGGGATTTTCCCGCGGTTTCAGTGCATCTCGCATCCCGGGTTTTCCGAGCTGCGGTCAAACTGCTGCTCAGGGATTAGTCCTAGCCTCCCGGGCTGCCTCTCAACTCGACTCACTGCTTCGGTGTTGCGTGTTGGACCCTCTCCGCTTTCTCCGGTGCCTGCCCGCTCCGATCTCTCGGCGTTTTCTTCTTTCTTCTTTCTTCTCGTTTCTTCTTTTTTCTGTGCACTTTCACTATACTTTTTTGAGCTCACTAACTTCGTTCCTTGGTCTCCCCCAAGGCAACGTTTACAGACGTCTAGGTTTTTTTCGGTAAAAGGACTCCCACTTCATAAAACTGAAGTGATAACCAGAATTCCTACTGATATATACCTCTTAAAGGCTTAAGCTATCTCACCTAATGTAGGTTCGGTCCCTGGTTGGGTCGCCAGATGTAGCGTGCACGTGCGCGCTGCCTTTATATGATAAAGAAATACAGCACACTCTCCAGAGCTGGTGGAATCAGAGAGCCTTTATTCGAGTGCCCCACTCCCTTTTATATCCCATAACCACGTGATCTCCTTATCCAATGGGGTTCCAAACCTCGGCGCATGCTCTCTGGGCGCCTCTGCCCTGGTACATTCCCCCTGTACCTCAGACATGCCCCTACACGTGGGCGCCTTTGTGATGTCATGGCCTATTCTCTCCATTCCGGAATAGCCCCTGGCAACCAAAGAGCCAACGCCTCACCACCCTGAAATGCAGCCCCACCCATGTGTCATGGACCCCTTGGTGATGTCACAGTCTATCCTCTACATTCCGGAATGGGCCTTGGCAACCAAAGAACCAACGTCCTACAACCCCAAAGTGAAGCCCCACCTGTGTGCCATGGACCCCTTTGTGATGTCACGGACTATTGTCTCCATTCCGGAATAGCCCCTGGCGACCAAAGAACCAACACCCCACACCAGCACAGTGCAGACAGACCCAGGTGCTTTGGGCCAGTTTGTTATCCTACCCATTCTGGCCTATCCTCTCCGTTCCGGAATAGCCCCCTGGGGTGGCTTGAGACCCCTAAAAATCCAATTCTTTAGTCCAAGTCCCCCGCCCACAACTCACCCCAGTGGGAGAGGGCTTTTCCAGGCACAACACAAGACTCAAGATGGGGGGAAGGGAATTCTATTACAATTAGGACACAAAGAAATATTCGAATACATTCTAGACACAATCCTAACTCTCTCTCCTGTGATCAACCAGGATTTACAATGGATCCAATCTCTTCTCCCTCCAAGAAAAGTCCAGAAGGGAAAAAGGAAAGATCCTTTCCACTCTCATGGCAGCAGTCTCTCTTCTTCCATGCAGCAGTCCGAGCTGAAGTTGGAGCTGGATCTCTTTCCATTCCACACAAGGGGGGGTCTCCTCTCACCTCTCTCAGCCCTTCGGCTCCAAGCAAAGGTCTCTCTCCTGTGGACTGCCATTGCTGGGACAAAAGCTCGCCTCACCACGTCATCTCATGGGCTGGAAGACCCCCAGGAAGGTCCCTTCCTCGAGGGCTTGAGTTCCCTTGAGTCAGAAGGTTAGGGCAGCTTTCAGTTGAAAGTCGTGGTCTCAAGTGTCCTATCAGAGCTCCTTTGCTCTGTCTCAGCTGCCAGCCTGGCAGCAGCAGTGGGGGGGCAAGGCCCTCCTCCGCATTCCCTCCAGCCGTCCCGCTCCAGCTTCCAGGACGACTGAGCTTCTTAGCTCCTCTCTCTCTCTGCTGCATGCTGCATTTTAGCACTTCC